CCCGGGTTTCGTGCTACTTGGCACTCGTCAGCAAGGTGTACCTGTAATCTTGACTACCTCCAACCACCATCTAATCTCAATACATAGTGCCCGCAGTGTCGAGTCACCTAGACTGGTGGCCACATTGCAACATGATCGATAGCATTCGATCTGCACTAATAAGGACTAGACAAGCATGAGATTGATCACCACCCAGTGATCAATCAATTGTGAAAGTAAATAATCGTTTGATAGTTAATGGCTTGAGTATTCATCGGGTAAGGATGGCTCAGCATGATAAAATAAAATGTTGAAACAGAGATGAAATGTAATCAGAATGATCGTGGAAATAAAAACAAACCGGTTGGGGGTAGAAGATTTGAAGCGAAGAAGGAAGGTGAAGCAGGTGGCTGTAAGGGAACAAGAGTATGAAGAAAGAGAACAATTTTAATACATTAAAACCATGGTAGAAGAAGAGGTTGTACCAGTTTCTTTTGTACACATAATTCTGGTTTTTCAAAATGTATGGCTGTTGCCTCGGCAATGCAAAGAAGATGCAGTCTAATTGTCTTAGGGAGGTTTCTACTTACCTTTTATATGATTTTGAACACAGAGTCTGTCTTGATTGAGTAACCTGTGTTCACAAGGTGTTCGATTATAGAACTTCTTATTGAGCCGTTGCCTCCTCTTTACTAATCAAAAAGACATACATTTCAAGGCTCAATATCAAACAGGTTTATTTGTGAATATTGTTTGAAATTATCAGTTTAGTGTATCTTAGTTTTTATCGGATGTTTATCTATAAGTATCCCGTGATATAATTTACAATAGAGAGATTACCTCACAAAAAAAATATAAAAATGGATGTGTTAATTAACTCTGTTTATCTCGTTTACATTTTGTAAAAATTATAAAAAAAATAAAATAAATCTTTTTGTATATATAAACTCAATTATCTTACCTGGTTAACTATTGTTCATTTAAAATTGTATCCACTCAAATAAGGTAATGTATGTCCTTACTTTATAATCTCTATGATAATTATATGTATTTTATTTTATTTTTATCTCCAGGGGTTTGAATAGTTACATTATTGATAGTTGAAATTGTTTAAATCCCTAAAATGAAATCTTGATATGTTTTTTTTCAAGTTTTATTTACATATTGATTAGATTTGATATAAATGAAAAGTTGAATTAAAAGTATACACTGATTATTATTGATTTATTATTCATTGAATAGATCCTCATTGAACAATGTATCTATCATTCAACGTTTAGTTCCTATGAAATGTAATTCTTATCATTCGAAATGTCAAGGTTAACTAATTTGCATGTATAAGGTTGTGAAATTAAACTTTTTGTTTCTGTTTCAAAAAAACGTTAAACTGCAAATAAGATTTCAAACAAACAAACAATAACAGTAATCCAATAATATTTTTGCAGTTTTTTTTCTGTATTCATCAAACATAAAATACAAAACTTTCTATTATTTACAAGTAACTACAAAATGTTTTTTTCAACATGTTTCAAAACGTTTCAGAACAAGGGAAAGAAAGATTTTAAGCAGTGCAATCACCAAACATCTCCTTGATATAGGATATCAGGTAATCGTTTAAGGTGATTGGTAACCAGCTAAACTCCAGTCTTTCGAAGTTTTTTGAAGCTGTTGCCATCAGGCATCAAAAACCTGACTTATATGTTCGGAAAGACGGTTATTAATCTTTCCTTGCCTTGGTGACAAATACTCTTTGGCTGCATCTTAATTTTTTTTCTTTTTTCTTTAAACCCTTTCTCGTATTTATCACATCATTGAGTTTTGCTTCCACTATCTTCTAAATTTATAACCTTATTTTATCAACTGAGCTCTACTCACTAGATTGTTATCAATATTTATTCATTATGTTACCACTTGTTTCTAGCCATTTGAACTGTTATCACAATCAATAATGTAGAATGTTCTTTCACATAGGGTATATATTTACAATATTCAGTCTATTAACTTTATTTACACCCTTGCTTTACTATACGAATATGTTTTCAATATAATTTCTAACCAAACTCTTTCATGTAAGCAATTAGAACTCAATATGTAATTATAATTTTAAATATCACAGGATGTAAGCAGCTGACGAGAACCAACGAAATAAAAATGAATTCATGTTATTCTGCTAGAATCTTTGTTCTTGCTCTTTACAAAATGATCAAGGGAACTATGTGTATGAAAAAAATGTTTGAACACATTGATTTCTCTTGGATAATTAAGATATTTTTCAGATTTTAACTAGACAACAAAGTAGGATTTTTAATTATGTAATAGAAGCTTAGATATTTATATAAACCGCCTAACCTTTATTATTACAGATTATAATGGAAATATTAATCTTGTAAATAAATGGAATAGTTTTGTGAAGGTAATTAAAAAAATATTAAATAGATAATGCCAAACAATCTTGATAATTTGTAAGGCTTTTTATTCATTGAACAAGTTAGTAATTATTTGAACTTAGTAGTTTGATTACGTGTTAACAGTTAACATAACTGGTACGTCATTTGAATCTTACAAGAAATATTAACACTAGAATACAGATATATCCATCTGATGAGTTTCAAATAGGACGAATAGTCCGTCTTGAATTCGACCACAAACCATTATCAAACATTAAAACTTCATAAAATCATCGACAGAAAATATGTATAGCTTTTTCGGTCTAGCAAATAAGACACAGATCTAATTATGCAATTAATAACTTTAAAGGTATTCTTATTCATTTCTTTCACAGTAAAGTCCTTAAATATGATTTGAAAAGGATAAGGAGTATCACATTCAGAATGATCAACAACTTACTTAAGGTTCCAAATACATTCTGTGTTTATAAGTGCTAACAAATTTAAAATTCAGATTACAAAATTACATCGAATTTTTCTATAGGAACTAATATTAGGTGGATAAATTTTATCAAGGATAAACAAAGTGTTAACATAACATAACGAACCAAGAATTTTGACAGCATAATGATATTATTGATCGAGATCATGAACCGATTGATGTTAGACCACTATTGAAAACCTGGAAGCACTGGACGGCTGTTTCGTCCCATTGTGGGACTCCTCAGCAGAGCGCATCCACGATCCCACTCGCGAGATTCTAACCCAGGGAGTTCAGTTTCACGCGCCAGTGCTTAACCTACTGGACCCACTAGTGACTAGCTCCGTGAGAAAATCCTCGGAGTTCTGGTGAGAAGCTGTGACCAGTGGAGCTAATTCGTGTCGTGTAGAAACAGGTGTCTATCTCAGTACATTGGAAGATAGTCGCGCAACTTCGTGGATTGGTTGAGGTTAGACATTAACATCATTGGATGCCTGCCGGCTCAGCGGTACAGTAGGTTAAACGTTGGCGCGCGAGACTGAACTCTCTGGGTAAGAATCCCGCGAGTGGGATCGTGGATGCGCTCTGCTGAGGAGTCCCACAATGGGACGAAACAGCTGTCCGGTGCTTCCAGGTTTTCAATGGTGGTCTAACATCATTCGGTCCATGATCTCAATCAAAAACTTAACAATCTCCATAACTCTTAAACTGATAATATAATGATAGATATTTTTGATGATGACAATATTTTGAATAGTAAAGTATTTTCACTGTTTTCTTTTTTTTAAATCAAAATCTGAAAAGTTTCTTTTATGATTGAATTGTTAATGTCATATAAATGATAACATTAGCTTAAATAATACGTTTTCTTTGAAACTTACTGGTTAGGTTTATCAGATAAAATAGATAATTGATCTTAACTGTTTTAGTTCTATTTATATATCGCCCATTTTTGTCAGATTTATAAAAAACAAATTCCATATGACCAACTTCTTTTCATTTTTTCTTCTAGTCAGTGAAAAGTTATTGTCCGAATGAATTTTGAGTTACTTAGCTATTCCGCTCAAACATCTATTTAGTAGTTTGAGTGTTTGTTTTTTTTAAAAATGAAAATCATACTGTCAAACAACTGTTAGCGAGACATAGACTCCATTAAGGCATGTTCAATGCACGCTTGCGTTGGCACACACGTCAGTCAATAATTAGTGAACACTCTAGAAATTTCATGTGAAAAGCTATAAATATACTAACGTTTTCCCTATTGCACTTCTTACTTGCTTCTTGGCTTCCAATCTAACCTTGTTATTGGGAATATAATCTCTGTTCGTGTTCAACCATGTTCTGATTTAAGGGACTTGTCGAGTGAATCGGTGTCCGACAATATTAAGTAATAGGAATAGCTGGGTTGTAATAAAGAGAGAGAACTATAACACAACTTAACTAACGAATTAGTATTTATCTACTTAGATAAGTTTAAGTAAATCATACAAGTATAGTATATCTCATTTGAATTATACCATTTTCTTTTCTTTTTTTTGAAATCATTCAGAGATTTCATCTTTTCTTATAATCAGATAATTTTCATCTTCAGAAGATGATCCACAATGTATACTTTAATTCAATGTAGATTTTTCTTTTCACTCATCAGTTAACACCGATTCATAGTTTCCTTTTGTTTTTTTTAGATTTTCATTTTAGAAAAAATAATAATAATTGACTATCATTGAAATTGAAAGAGAGAATAAACAGAAAATCATTCTCACAGATTGAAATCATGAGTCAGTTGAAGCTAGACCACCATTGAAAACCTGGAAGCACTGGACGGCCGTTTCGTCCTAGTATGGGACTCCTCAGCAGTGCGCATCCACGATCCCGCACCACGCGGGGCTCGAAGCCAAGACGTACTGGCTTCGCGCGCGAGCACTTAACCATTAGACCACTGAGCCGGCATCCAACGGTGTTAATGTCTAACTTCAACCAATCCACGAAGTTGCGCCACCATATACCATTGTCCCATACTAGGACGAAACGGCCGTCCAGTGCTTCCAGGTTTTCAATGGTGGTCTAGCTTCAACTGACTCATGATTTCAATCTGTGAAAATTTCTAAAAATCTCCACAAACCCCTTCTGAGAAAATCATTCTGTCAATCATTCCTATCAGAGTATTTTTGTATTAATACAAATTAGATCAATCTAGAAAATATTTAACATGACCATAATGAAGGATAAAGATATGAAATTCTGTTGTGTTGTTTTTTTTTATATAGCAGTTTTCACTAAACAAATGGCTTGTTTGTTTATTTTATTTTGTTTACATTTTAATATTTTATAGAAAGAATAACATTGAAGGAAGACATCGAATTGTTTGAATTCAATTCAAATTAAAGGAATAAAACAAATTTGATTAACACATATCTTATATTGAAGAATTAAAAGATAAATTTTTTTTAAAAAAAAAACAACGAAAAAACAAAAAAAAAGAAAACAAAACAAACAAACAAAAGATTAAAAGTAAATGAGCGGAAATTTTCTTTTAAATAAGAAAATTCATGATAAACTGACTTAACTATCTTTACAAAAAAAGAAAGAATCTACATAAAATAACTTATAAACTATGTAAAAGAATATACTATAATTTCTGAACTAAATAAGTAGTATATAACGTGTAATAGTAGTAGTATTATTAGTAGTATTAGTAATACTAGTAATAATAGTAGTAGTAGTAGTAGTATAAAAACAACTTAAAAATGTCTATGTACATCATTATTTATTAAATAAAAGTGTGAAAACCAATTAAATCTTATCAAAAGTATTCTTCTTCTTATTATTATTATTTACTTTTAGCTGTTTATCTTATTAATTGTATCTAATAAAGATTTTCTCTCTTGTTCTTCTTCTACAATATATTCATAATCTAAAGGAGTAATAATCTCTTCTTGTCTTTGTAAGTATGTTTTAAAAGAAGAAGAAGAAGAATTTCGATAAGGAACAGTAATTGAATTCATACTTTTTGATAGATTGGAATAATTTTTTGAAATTTGTGTACAAGGATCAGTGAAATATTGAGTTGTTTTAAGATCTTTATTATTATGATCATTAATAACTCTTTTTAGACAATTTTCTGAATAAGTTGACAATGCTTGTTTATTTGATAGAATATTAAATGATGATGTAGATTGTAAGGGAAAACTTCGTCTTTTCGTTAAAGGAAATTCTTCAGAATGAGATATGAATTGTAATTTTGATGATACTTTCTGAGTATTATCATTATTCTGATTGTATATAGTAGTGTCTATATTAAGTTTTTCATTGTTTGGATAAATATTTTTCAAAGATGTTTCAGCATCAATACTTTTCCATCTTTCACTTATCAGTGATAATGGAAAATTGACAGTCAGTGAATTTCTTTCTGATGCAGACAATTTTTGTTTCTGGAATTTATTATGTGATCTACGTTGAATCACAAACACTTTATCCTCTGATAGTTTTGGATATTGTTCTGTTGTTGTTGTTGAAAAATGTGTATTACACTGGATTTGATGATTTACTTTATCTGAACAATTAATTTGTTGAATGTATTGGTCATTATTCTGCAGTGAATGTTTCATATTGACATCGGTATTTTCTACTTGACTACGATATTTAAACATATAATCAGCTTTTAAAATATTGATCAATCTATCAAGTTTCATTTCAACAGTATCAATCTAAAATATTAGAATGTTTACAGAATTAAAGATTTTTTTATGTTTATACTGAACACGAGAAGCAATTATCAAAAACGGACCATTAAATTCCATTAAAACCGTTTTAACTTTGTTTTTGTTTTCTGCCTAAATTTGAAAAGATAGTAACCTCATGAATATTCCAGAGTATAATAATAATAATCTACAACACTTCAACAATAAGTAATGTCATGTAAATGCCTTAACTACTATTTTGAAACATTTAAAAATCGATATGGAAACTAGATATCATGCTACATTTGATAGAACTAAACAAATATGGATAAATAAATAAAAAAAGAAATCAATATTTTAATTATATAAACTACGTTACTGGGAATAATTGTTGAAGACCCGTTTCGATTGATTTTTTAAAAGAATTAAAATGTCAACGTAGATTGTCATACAGAGTTTCGTTTATAGTTGAGTAAATTTCACTTAAGCAAAATGTATGTTCAATGATCTACAGTTTTAACAAATGAGCTTTGAATTAATTAATATTTGTAATGACAAACATCATCATATCTCTTTCCTAAAGTTAACCATATTACTTCTTTTTTATATTAATTATGATAAGATCTTTCACTACAATTTTTGTTAGACCTAGGATTTTTGATTTACTATATTGTACAGCATCGTTTTGAATAAATACTTGCCTAATTCTTCGTCAAGTTACACATAGTGATTCAATAAATTTGAACATTGTGTCAATAAATATTTGAAATTTGTGTTTTAATTAAATATTAAGGTCTTATTTCTACTACTATTATGGACTAAATATGCTAAGCCCTTTTTTAGAAGTGTTACTGTTGGTAGGATAATCACTATATAAACAGGTAACTTCAGAGCATAAAACTCAAAGGCCTTAAGATATGTCAATAAATATCACTACTAACTCGAAACACATCTGTGTTACAAAGACTGTATTTAATAGAGAACTATAATCAGTTCAATAACTTCGACCGATCATAGCTCAAATAAATCTGATTTAGAATAACAAATTAAGTCAAGACCGCGTTACTGATTTGTTATGTCATGAACCAGAGATTATCATAGTAATCTGATGATGGGAAAATATTGCTTTAGTAATAGTATTTATGAATGAATAAACAGAAAGTAGTTTTTACTAAAAAATTTAAACTTCTCACCTTATGTTCAATTTTCACAATTCTTGATGCTAGACATTGATGTGAATCATAGACATCATCACCTTTAGAGCCAGGTCTTCCTAAAATTTGATCTAACCTAAAAGATGGAATTATTTGATAAAAGTTTGAAACATGTTTTTGAGCTGTAGTTGTGTAAAGTTAACAAACGAGTATATTTATGCATTAAAATATAGGTCCTATGTTTTCAATTACAATCTGGAAATTATGTTTCTTTGAAAGCAATTTTTCAACCTCAAGTGATATTCAATGGACGTTTGACAATAAAAATCAATAAAAATCTGTTAGTTGGAAGCAATCGAATGAAGGTTGTGAATCTTGTTTCACAGTAGCCAACACTCATCAGTAGTGTATATCCCTAATCTTGAAGAAAATATTGTTTACTTTAGGATTTTAACTCACATTGTCTAAGATCACAGGTTTTACTAGAGAGATACCGATGCTGGGATGTGACCTACTGGAAGACTGAAATATTTACTCTAGTAGTCATTGAGTAGACAATAATATTATCCTTTTTGGATCTTAGTGATAACTGGAGCTTAGCAGCTGGATTGTGATTCTATATCTTTGCTTAGTACTACGTTGATGAGGGTAGTCAGCAGGACGGTTTCAGCTATGCAGAATAGTTGCTCTTTATGGGTATCTTTCATCTAAGATAGTTAATATACCATCAAGTTTTTACTTGTAACAATTCATCCTTAATCATGTCTGAATGAATTTTGTATTTATCAGATTTTCATATTCCCATTGTTAAGTTTAGGATTTTAATTTGTTCAGTATACTAATGGACATAAACGCAAGCTGAATATAATCTGAAGTTGTTTCAAAAGATACCGCGAATATATCAGACCGTGGCTAACATCTGTCACAACGTATATATATATATATATATATATATATATATATATATATATATATATATATATATATGTATAATGGTCATCAAGAAAAATCATTGGGGTGTTAGAATCCTGGCTCTCAACTTTAATATTCAAAAAAGTTTACTTTCACCTCAACTGTAGTATAATATATATACATTAGAGTAACACTAAATTTCATAAGTTAAAGGCTTTACAATTAGATGTTCATTATGTTTAGTAACAGCTATTGAAGATAGATAAAGCAAAGTACTGCTTAGAAATATTTATTTACCTTGCTTGAAGTATTTTCACTCTAGCTAACATATCAACATGTCCAGCTGAATACTGTTCAATTACATCTTTTACATCATATGGTCTGAGAGCTTCACGAAATTTTCTACGTGCTACAAAAAATCGCAGTTTTCGAATTACACGTACAGCAATTTTTTCTTTTTCAGTTAATGGATGCATAATAACTTCAGATCCACGTGATGAGCATAAATATGGATCATGTTGAAACATTGTTTGACTATTAATATTTTGTTTCTGCTGTGCTGGAGGATTACCACTTTTTGATATACTGATATGTTCACTTTGACTAGTGGACAGTAAATCAGTTGTGCACAGTCTATCATTTGGTATTTGTACTTTTGTTAAGATTGGTAACAGTTCATTTGATGCTAAAAAAGTAAGTGCAACATATGCAAACAATAGATATACTGAGTAGGCAAAGTTTCGAGAAAGTACAACACTGAATATCTTGCTTAGTTTACAGTTATACATTATAATACGTCACAAAGTATATTTTAGTTTTTAAACTTTAAAAGCTCCCAGTAAACTTTTTAATGGTGTGGTATGGAGTTGGTATCCAATAGCAAATACTTCCAACTTCAGTTGTTTCCCAAAATCGTGTTGCCATTATTGGTTGCCATCAATGGCATGGATCAGTTTCCTCAATCATTGTTTCTCACTAGTTCTCTAATGCTGACTGGTTTTTAATGGGCAACTAGCTAAAATCAGTTCATGAGGTATATAATTTTCAAAATTTTTCCATTTTGGTGATTATAAAATAAGACATATTCGTTATTTTATGACACATGATACTTTCATCCTCAATTAGACGATAAAGCCATAACTGACTTCGCAGATGTGTAACTGTTGTATTTAAAAGACATGTTATTGAGGAGAGAATAGAACCTTATTTAATTGTATGAAACAATAGTATAGTATATCCGTTGCATATTTCATTGACTTATGAAACTTCTCATGACTTATTTCAAAATGCTTATAATTTGTTGGATTGTCTGTTAATTTTATAATCCGATCCATCTTTGAAACAGTAGTGAATTTTTGTACGTCATTACAAATATAAATTAGTATTTCGATCACAGATATCTAAAATGAGTTATATTTGCAGGACTGTGTTATTGGGATCATAGTGTCATTGAATAGCATACATATTCAGGGTGTATTGTTATCAGTGTCAGTTTATAATCTGAAGGTTGACTTAAAATCATGACTTAATTTGACTTTTTATGTTGATAGGAAATTACCATTTAATATTATACTATAAGCTTGATAGTAAATGCTTTCACACAATGTACCCTTATTAGTTGGATACTGCTATAACTCCAGCGTTCTTTTAATTAGATAACTAAAAGACGAGATTGTATGCAGATACAGGACTGATTGTTACATGGAGTAATAATGAATTTAAATATTCCATTAGAAGTTAATCAATTTTGATGGAAGTCTTACTTCGCATTAATCTTGATACTAACCGGTAGTGACTGTAGACTAAGAATATTTACTTAAAACTATGGAAATGTATGATAATGTTTGTTAGCATATCTTTTCACTTAGCTTGGTTTTTGAATCCCCATTCTAAAGACATGAACATACATTTGTAGTGAGGTACAGTGAATATTTTGATTACCTTGATTCTTATGTAACCAATCAAGTGGATTGAATTCAATTAAGGAATCTCCATATGTTACACAGCACCATTTTGAATGGGTCTTGGAAATGAAATATTAATGAAGGCACAACTACATCAATTTTCCAAATAGTTTTTACTGATAATTACATAGCAATTTCAACAGTTGAGATCATGAGTCAATTGAAGCTAGACCAGCATGGAAAACCTGGAAGCACTGGATGGCCGTTTCGTCCTATTGTGGGATTCCTCATCAGTGAGAAGTAGTGCTTCCAGGTTTTCCATGGTGATCTAGCTTCAATTGACTCATGATCTCAACTGTTGAAATTACTACAATCTCCACAAAACCCCTTCTGATACTAATTACATAGCTGTTATTATCGTTCCAATTACGTTTAAGTGATTATATCACGAAACCTACTGACTTGAACGAAATAATTACCCAGCACAGAGTTAAGATAAGTTCATTGATATTTAATTTGATAATTTGACATTATTATTGAAATTTCTCGTTACAATAGGTAGAAGTTCATAGTTATGAAAAAGCTTAAGCCAAATTACCAGATAAAATGATGGATTTACTTCAAATCCATTCGCTCAGATTTTACAAATATATTCTTCCTCTTTAATATCTCATATCAACTCAGTGCCCAAATACTGTAAAAGTATTCGATCATATTTAGACGAAAGTTCTTATATTATTTGAACAACAATATTTAAAAAAGTATAATACTTTACTTACTATAAAGAAATTTGTTTATTATGCGACAAAAATACAAATCAAAGACGCGGTTTTGTGAATGTTATCATTATTATTCATGAGTCAATTGAAGTTAGACCAGGTTTTCCATAATGGTCTACCTTTAATTGACATATGAATTCAACTATTCAAAATACAAATATCCACATTCATGAATTTTTTTTTCTTGATTGTAAAATAAAACAAAACTATGTACCTTTTACTATTTTCTCGTCTAAATCTGATGATTTAACAGGGTCAGGAGTATTTTGCAAACTATAATAATAAAAAAATAGAAAATAAACATAAATAATTCATAATATTAATTGTATTGAATGAATTTGCTGTAAAATTAAATTAGACCATTTGTTTGTTTGTATTTTTGTGTTTTTTTTGTTTTCTTTTGGTGATCAAGTAAACAAAAACATTGAATATGAAATAAGAGTAATAGCTAACTAATAAATGAGTTTGTATACTAAACAATTGTCATTTGGGAATTTATATAATCTCAATATTTTGACTTATATATCTTTTCCGTTTCAATAACTTCAATTAATTGACAATAAATCTTTTATCAGAAGGGGGTTTGTGGAGATTTTAGTAATTTCAATAGTTGAAATCATCAGTCAATTGAAGCTAGACCACCATGGAAAACCTGGAAGCACTGGACGGCCGTTTCGTCCTAGTGTGGGACTCCTCAGCAGTGCACAGACACGATCCCGCCTCCCTACGCGAGATTCGAACCCAGGACCTATCAGTCTCGCGCGCGAGCGCTTAACCACTAGACCATTGAGCCGGTCGGCATACAACAGTGTTAATGTCTAATTTTAACCAATCCACGAAATCTCCACAAAACCCCTTCTGATAATAATCATCTACTCACTAGTGACTGACTTCAAGAGGCATTTCCTGGATTTCTAATGAGAAGCCGTTGCCGGTGGAGTCCATTCAGGTCTGTTGTGAGATATCAGCCCACTAAAGACAATGGTGAAGGTGGACCATTGGTTTAAAATTGAAATATTTTAACTACCCTAGATAGATCCTCCGCACTCATTGACCCGGCTAAAGTGCCGTACATTCTCTTTTAATCTTCTCAATTTCATAAACAACACCTCTGCTACGAGAAGGCAATGAATAGAACTTCCTTGTTAGTGATTATATGCACGTGATCAGGTGAGAGGATTTTGAAAGGGAGTGCAAACTCTCTTCATTCTCAGCCGTACCAGGGTATTTGATTTCAAAATTCCTCGGTAGTTTGTAATTTTAAAATCAAACCAAGCATTTTTAATGTAAGAATTTAATTATACCAGTATAATTTTTTACTTATCTACTCATCAAACTTTGTAATATTGAAAGAATTTTCAACTCAAGTTAGACAAGATTTTCTATATTAAATATCAAATTATGAAATAAGAAATTTTATTAAAAATGATTATTAACTTTAAAGTTCTGGAACTAAAATATCCATTCTGTCATGATATTTATTGAAGAAGATTTTGGAAAAAAATGAAAAATATAAAATATAAAAAAAATAAAAAACGTAAAAATAAAAAAATAAAAAATAAAAAATATAAAAATAAAAAAATAAAAAAAATACGAAAAATAAAAAATATAAAAATAAAAAATTAAAAAAAATTATTTAATACTTTAACAGTTAAAAAATTAAAACATTCATTAACTTTAATTTCAGTGAAGTAAATAATTTTGTTTTTATTTATTAGACTGTAATGAAGATATTCTATGCTACATTCTTTGCATATTAATAACATAGATTTATTTTATCTTCTTCTTCTTCTTCTTCTTTGACTTCAATGAATTTGTCAAGATTGATTTTATTTTGTTAATTATATTTATCAAAGATTTAATATCCATTTAATTGTTAATGAAAATTAACTAACACTAGATAGATGTTTATAATTTAGAATAGAACTAATTCAATGTAATCATTTTGGTTTCTTTTCATCACAGATGATATTTTAAGTAAGATATTAAATGGTGGTTAGAAGTAGTCGAGGTAGTCTCAATATATAGTGCTCGCAGTGTCGAGTCACCTAGACTGGTGGCCACATTGCAACATGATCGATAGCATTCGATCTGCACTAATAAGGACTAGACAAGCATGACATTGATCGCCACCCAATGATCAACCAATTGTGATAAGTTAGATATATTTGTGACAAATAGAAGTTACAAAGATTATCTTTAATAATAAATTTTACATTTATCAATTTTATTTGCTTGATCATTTAAAATAAGTATTTTTTATAGTAAGAGTGAATTGTCACATGAATAACATGTATCCCTTACATTGAACAGGCTAATAGACATTAAAAACTAAACAGTTCTGAAGTTTATTTAGTCAATTAGTCTGTCAGTAACAACTTAGAACTTCGTACTTACGTACATTAGTTCGAGTTGCCACACCACATTAGCACAGAGATCCAGTTGTCGATTCAAATGCCGTAGTAGGAGAGGTGGTAAGAGTATAAGCAGTAATCGGAAAGATTAGGGTTTGGAGATGTTATTCAAGGACTATAATCCAGTGAAATAGATTTGGAAAGGGAAAAAAAGGAAAGGGACATGAAGAATTCAGAAGATTAGAATCTGGGAGAACACAAAGAGTGTATGCACCTGTGCCATTGCAAACGATTTTGAGCCATGTCATTCAAGGTCTCTATTCATCGGTTGCTATCGTCTCGCGGATCCCAACCAGTTGGTCTGCACCTACCAACATAGCTCAGTCCACTTGTCAGTGACTTCATAGACTTGCGCCATGTTTTGGTCCGGTCGCCTCAAGCTTTCTTCCAATCTACTCCTATACAACAAAACATCGCACATCGAGGCAGTTGGTGGTTGGGCATATATAACACGTGTCCCAGCCATCTCAACTGATGACATTTCACTACAACAAGTGAATCTCCCGGTAGAAGTTCAACCCCTGGAAATTTAGATGAGGAGGGTGTTATCTCTAAAAGTACGTCGACGACAAAGTTGAACAAGAATGGGGAGAGTGGACAGCCCTGACGAACACCACTTGAGGTAATCAAATCTGATGACAGTTTGCCATGAGCTCTCACTCGATCAGTTGTGTTCTGGTAGAGGGTCTGTATAAGACTCTCTACTTTACTGAAGATTACTAGCAAAGTTTTGTAATTTAACAAGAAGTATAATAGAATTTGAAACGATAATTATGTTCTCTTATTAACAATTTCTCTTTTTATGCTACGTCAGAAATGGTCTGCTAATGGAAGGATAATTGAGTGAAAAACTGTTTACTTTAAAATTAGGAAACGGAAGTATGAAAATTTATAATAGATATATTTTTTGTTATGTCTCAGTGAGCAGAAAATTGTAATTTTGATGTTTCGTGACTTAATGCAAGCCACATCTTCAGAGTAAATAAATAACTGTTAGGCCACGAAATGTCAAGATCACAATTTTCTACTCATCCGGAAATAAAATAGAATATATTTGTTACTAACGTTTCAATTAATGCTCAATTTATTTGAAACTAGTATGTCCAACATTGGCATTGATACATATAAAAATGTTTATTAACATTTATGTATTTTCAAAACTTATCGATTGACCAATTAAAGTTTTATAGACACATGTATGTATCAGACCTAACCAATATCAGAGTGCGAATCTTCAATACCAACGTCAAGACAGTCAGTTCTACTGTACAAAGCTGAAACTTGGAGAACTAACATAACCATCACCAAAAGGTACAGGTATTTATAAGCAATTGTTTACGTAAGATACTCAATGTCCGTTGGTTAGATGTTATCAGCAACAGCCTACAATATAGGACAACAAACCAACTTCCATATGAAGAGGAAATTAGGAAAAGATTCAGCAAATCTATAGTATACGCATTGAGGAAATCATCAAACTGCACTACGAGTCAAGTTCTAACTTGAAATCGTGAAGTAAAAACGAAAAAGAAGAAGGCCAAAGAACACGTTTTGTCGAGAATTTGAAGCAGACATGAAAAAGATGATTTACAACTGGAAAGAATTGGAAAGGATTGTCCAAGGCAGATTTGGATGGAGAATGCTGATAGTCGGCCTATGCTCTTTCATCAGGGGTAACAGGCGTAAGTAAGTAATGTATCAGGCCCATTAATACTTATTATCTATTATTTTATACATTAAGTTCACAGAAATGCATGTTCAAAATAAGATTACACATCTTTAGAATCTCACAGTTTTATTTTACAGTAGATTATTTTTAGCTGCCCAAATATTCTGGGTTTAAAAGGTAACCAAATTATTTCATTTTTTTTAAAACTAATTACTAAAACAAATATTCTATAGTACTGATATCAAATTTAGTAAATTAAATATACTGGTCTATACTGTGGATAGAAATCTTAAACAAAAATATAAACCATAAATAAAAATAAAAGATTAAAACAAAAATTCACTTACTTTGTGGTATCTTCATCATTTATAAATGCATAAATACCATCTAAATCTTCACTTTTAACAGGTGCAGATTTCGGTGTTTCATCATCTGTTGATATAGTAAGAGCAATGTTATTTATGTTTGTATTTGTATTCGAAGTAGTTTTTTCTGAACGACGTTTTAATGTTGAAAATCGACCAAATCGAGAAAAACCACTTCGTTCAGTCATTGAATATGAATTAGTTAATCTAAAATATATAGAATTTATGAAGTTTTAATAATAATCATAATCTTATGAGTTCAATGAATATATCTTTTCTTTCTGAACATTTTAGATGTATCTGGACCTCAGAGTTGATGTTCACTCTGGGACTCAAACCCAGTACCGTTCGTTAGAAACGCCTACGTGTAATCTACTTAGCTACTGAATCCTGATAGTCATTTGCTTGTGCTATGGAGTGAAGTTGAAATTGAATTGGTATTATTTACTTGAATCTTCCCATTGATGTTTAGCACTTCAATTGATCAGTCTCTTATTAGCATATGTGCATACTGTGCGCATTGCCTCGATGTTGAATGATCAATTGCAGTCCGAAACATCAATGGGTAGATTCAAGTAAACACTACCAAGTGAATTTGAATATAACCTATTTCATAATATCTTTATTTAAATATGAAGACATAATGGATTTAAGTCTTATAACAGGAATTCAGGGTGAATAAAACAAGCATAGAAAATATGCAGAAATTAGAGTAAATTTTAGTAGATCAATTATCTTATTTATAAAACTTTCATTAGTTTCTTTAGAGTTAAGTTTAGCCATAGGACTGAAAATAGGGAACTTCTAAAATGACTTGGAAATTGTTGACTCACTTCATTCCGTCGGAAAACATGACAAAGAGAAGAGTAAACATTATTATATCCAAGCACATTTCAAAGAATCTATGACTAAAAGGTCTCACAGTTCTAAGCAGCTAAATTGTTCAGCACTTATTCGATGGCAGTTACGTTAATGATGTAATTAGATCTCTAACGGTTAATAACCGAAAAAAATGTTCAATTCCATTACGGTAAACTTAAGCAGTATTCAGTAAAAAAGTTTAAATCATATTTATGTGTTATTAAGGATATAGCTGCCATGTTAAACTGTAAATGTGAATAAAATGTCTCCAATTGTTACTGTTATTATCGTTTTTGTTTTGTTATACAATCAGCTCAACTAATCATCACTTCATTCACATTACCATTACCTGTTCATTTATCCATCAATTTCAAACGCTCAGTACTTAAGCATGGGTAACATCTCCAAATCTTTTGTAATTATTGCACAATCAGTCTCATCAATTTTCGAATTGTAGGTAATTATGGCAAGATTAGAATTTATGGACAAACTAATCAGGTATAAGAGAACAGGTCTCGGATTTCAGTGCAAAATTCACTAATCCAGTTGGTTAAATCGAGTTTTCACATTATAACTGATGTCAGTTCGTGATCAAAACAATAAAATCTAATTCTTAACCCTAACCATCAATTGTACATCACAATTGTAATTCCCCACACTGGTTTATAACCTTCATTTGATCCTAGTTATCAAGTGAACACTCTCAAGTCCACTTTCGAGTCACTCAAATGTCGTCCATAAATTATTGTCTCACCATAACTATTACTTTACTCAATTTATATTTTCTATGTTTTCTTTCAAATAACCTTGCAAATTTGTCTTTGAGTGACAGGTATTTGTTAAATATTATGTTAAACTTTTATATGAATACATTCGTAAGCAACTGGTAAGAGTCTAAAGAATGAAAATAAATACATATTATTCTGCACCAGCTGTTGTTCTTCCTTTGTGTATTAGAATAACATATATAAGTGAACAATATTGTTTTCGATTAGATTCTCATCAGGCTTTTATTCTAATTTCACAGGTTGAAATCATGAGTCAGTTGAAGCTAGACCACCATTGAAAACCTGGAAGCACTGGACGGCCGTTTCGTCCTGGTATGGGACTCCCCAGCAGTGGGCATCCACGATCCCGCACCACGCGATGCTTCACGCGCGAGCACTTAATCACTAGACCACTGAGCCGGCATCCAACGGTGTTAATGTCTAACTTCAACCAATCCACGAAGTTGAGCCACCGTACACCATTGTCTTCAGTGAGTTGTTGTGGATGCGCACTGCTGAGGAGCCCCATACCAGGACGAAACGGCCGTCCAGTGCTTCCAGGTTTTCAATAGTGGTCTAGCTTCAACTGACTCATGATTTCAACCTGTGAAATTTCTAAAATTCTCCACAAAACCCATTCTGATAATAATTTTATTCTAATATTAAATAATCTTTATATGTATATACGAAATTATTAAACCAATCAAAGCAGTTCATGAATCAATGATAACAGTGGAATAGATTACATAAATAAACAGAATCAATGATAAGTACAAATTGATAGTGTGATGATCAATGTACTAGTTGTGATAAGAATAATAAAGGCTTGAATTAATGTTGTATAACGGAAAATAGGTTAGTGATTAGAAGAAAAAAATATGGACGCTGAAATAACATTCATAAAAACCATAAGATTACGTAATAAAAAGTGTTCAGATAATTGGATAGTGAAGCTTATATTTGAGAAAAGTAAAGAATGGAATGGTGTGAAGAAAAACAAAGGAACAAAGAGTAAGGAGAATAATAATAAATAAAATCTTACTTTATAAGCAAAGATGGATAGTGGCTAGCAGTGGAATCCAGGATGCGCGTTTCGTCCTGTTTGGGACTCGTCAGCTGGATGTACCTGCATCTCAGAGTTGATGTTCACTCTGGGACTCGAACTCAGTACCGTTCGCTTCAAACGCCATCGCGTTATCCACTTAGCTTGCTTATAATGCTTGTAAATTAAGGCAATATCGAGGCATACGCACAGTATGCACATATGCCAATAAGAGACTGATCAATTTCAGTCCCAAAACATCAATGGGAAGATTCAAGTAAAACAAAATCTTACTTTGTTGAAAATACATTAGAATTCACAAATAATAAGTTATTTTTAAATGATTAATGAACTTTTCCATGTTTACCATAAATTCCTAACTGTTAGCGCTCATATAAAATATTATTAATCGGATTTAATGTTAGTCTATGCAGTATAAGTTGTATTTTAGTTATAAAAACAACAGCTATTAATCTAACTCCAGTTCTAAACACAAATCCTAATCCCATCCTCAGACTCTAACCTTAAGAACTTAGTAATATTTACAGTTGATTGATCACTGGATGATCAATGTCATGTATGTCAGGTGTTTCTTGGTGCAAATCGAATCCTATCGATTAAGTTGCCATGTGGCCACCAGTCTAGGTTACTCGACATTGCGTGCACTATGTTAAGAGAAGATTGTGGTTGGAGGTTGGATAATAACTCATAGTTCTACATGTCATTTCGTTGAAACATGTTATATGGTTAATCTTCAAATCGATTCTAAATCTGTAAATAAAAATTCACCAGAGTACATTCATGGATTCCTAAAGATCCTGGAAACTGTTCTATGATAAGAACAGCCATTAAAATTATGACATGAAATTATAGAACATCAAGTTCAGTTGAAATGTAAAAATATATTTTGATGATGTAATTTATCTAATGTAACAACTGTAAGTAAACATTTTTTCAGAAAGAAGGTTTTGTGGAGATTGTAGTAATTTATTAGTTGTATTCATGAGTCAATTAAAGCTAGATAACCATGGAAAACCTGGAACCAATGGATGGCCGTTTCATCCTAGAATGAGATCGTGGATGTGCACTGCTGAGTAGTCCCATGCTAGGACGAAACAGTCATCCAGTGCTTCCAGGTTTTCCCTAGTGATCTAGCTTTGATTAGCTCATGAACTCAACTATTAAATCATTATTTGTTTCTGAATTTCGTATCATTAGAAGAGGAACAAAACAATTTCATACCTGAGATAATAAAAGTTTTCTAAGTCAAGGAAGAATAGATATACACTGTATACATTTATAAAATGATTAGAGTGAACTGTTTGTTCTTGTGTTTATTCTAGGAAAGGAATGACACAAATTGTTTATGAAACATTCAAAATCATAACTACCTTATCATTGTATACATGAACACAATTTTCATGTTCATAACGAAAGATAACAAATTACTAATCTGTTTTGTAAGTAATAAATTAATCATCAAGATAAATGATCGATAATTTATGTGTAGATACACTTGCAAGTCAACCATTATAAACAATATTTATCAGCATATTTCACATTATTCATGTGATTCTCTTATGACAACATTGAAGAATTTATAAACCAAGATGAAATATATTATATAATACCACCACCAAATTAACTACTTTTATGAATTCGGTGTTCATCTTGTTGTGCTAACGAGGTATGCACATATGTGCCTGGTCCTACGTTGTAGCTGAATGATTGACTGACTGAAATACTTTTTTTAAAAAAACAACCACCCTGAATTCATCTTAAGTATAAAATAAACAGTAGTAAATCATTCAAATTTGCATCACGAGGCAAGTCATAACTTGGAATCCTAAAGGGAAGAGGGAAAGTGAAAGGCTAATGATCTCATTACGTCGAGAAATCGCAGCAGATATGAAAAAGATGAATAACAACTGAAAGAGATTGCCCAGGAAAGGATCAAATGGCGAGTGCTGATGGGAGGCCTATGCTCCTCCACCAGGAGTAACAAGCGTAAGTAAGTAAGTAAGTAAGTAAGTAAATAATTCAAATTAAGTGTACTATGCAAATCATGTTTTTCATGGAAAGTTTATTAACTATTCTACTGAATCAAGTCATAAGCTTGAAAGGTTTTGTTCCAAACGAAATACATTTGTATTACACTATATACTATTAGTATCGAATTATTAAAGGAAGATTTCATTAATTATTAAGTCAAGTCGTTAAATAATTCACTTACAGTTTAACCTAAAAAAGAAACATTAAATAAACAATCAAACCACTAATAGATTTATGAGTTTTATAGGAAAATATTGGAAATTATGGATTATTTATGCAAACTATGTCAAGGGTTGTAATAATATTAAAGTAGTTGAATGAAGTAAATTTAATATATAAAACGAGAATATCTAATTAGAATCATGATAAATGATTATAGATGTAGAATAAATAAATAATAAGTAGTATATATTGTTATTTAATAAAAATATATTTCATACATATAATTCCCTTTATTATCCTAAATAGAACAAGAACAAAATATTGGTGCAGAATAATATGAATTCATTTTATTTCTTTAAGTTCTCATCAGTTGCTTACAACCTAAAATATTTGGAAATCAACGTTATCGCAGATATCGACATACTTATACATACAAGAGTAATTAAAGATGAATATATGTGTAGCATGATGTAGCGAAGATTTCAATACAGTTAATTAAGTCACACAAAATTTGTTTCGAATATAGTTTGAGAGGGAAAGTTCTAGAACATTGAAATAGTGATTATAATTGATTAAATTAACAAACATTAGATGATTATGTAATCAAGTAACTGAAAATAGATTAATGGTAATAAAGAAAGATATGAATTGAAATCAGTCAGTTATGAATGATGTTATTTTAAACTTCCGAAAGAGTTGGAATAATGAATGACGTAATAAATAATCAATAAAAAGGAGGGGTTTAATGTTACCAGGCCAAAGAAAGATTTATTAGTCTCTTTTTGTATAAATAGATCAGGTTTTAGATGTTTGATTGTTTGTTATTCATCTTGAAGGACTTCAGTGTATCGACTTCATGTCCTGTGTTAAGGAGATGTTTTGCGATGGCACTGTAGAATGCTTTTAACCCGTTTGATCTTAAACTCTTCGGAATATGTTTTTTGAATAGGACTCAGGCTTTCTTTTCTGTTCTACCAATGTAGCTGCTTTGGCAGATACATGTAAATTTGTATACACAGTTGATGGTAACATGAAAGGGATATCTGTCAACCTTTGATTGTGTCAAATCACATATTGTTTTGAACAGGACAATCAATTTAGCTGTAGGATAAGTTCGTGTCAATGCAGTTTTTAGTTTCATATTGATTGACCCTGTGGTATTATCACCTTTAAATTTGAGTTGAATACAAAATAGGTTTTTTTATTTGTTGTAGCTTCTTAGGGTATTTTAGTCTTTACGTTTTCCATATGTTCTCTACTTTTAAGGAATAAATTCAGTTGATTCGATATTTTTGAAATGAAAACAACAAATATACATTTAACTACATATAAAATAGGATAAATTATAAAATATTCAATAAATAATAAGATGGAAGGGAAAAAAATTTTATTCACTTAGTTACCATGAAGGTTAAAATAAGTTCAGTTTCTGTGGAAGATTAATTCATCTAAATGAATTAATCTCTATGAATGATGTTTATTTGAGTTTTTTTTCAGTAAATGAACACTTTTATTGACTCATATTTACTAACCAGTCAGTTGTAGAAAGTTACACAACATTAGTGTACAACTATTATTGGTTTCTAGATGTAAAATGAGATTGATGATCTAAGAAGTCAAATTGAACAAGGTATGTATTAATCACAATTATTTTTTTAAAAAATAACATTATTATAAACAAAATTATTTTCACAAACCCAACAGGTTTCCTAATAGGTCTCATATGAATTTTCCATGTTGCAACGGATGATGAATGAGGATCTGCAGCATAACATCTCCATAAACATTGAATTAATGTAGCAGCTGGAACTCGTCTTCGAATTAGATGTTTTTGTCTTTGATGTTGTTGAACTTTGAGAGCGAAACCGCTACCTAATATGCCCTGAAATTGAAATTGAATTAATGAATTACATATATGTAGAGTATTTTTCTCTGTTCATTACTCAATACTATACCATAAAACTGTCAATGTGTTTTAAACAAAATATTAAAATCCCAAAATATTTAGCTAATACTTAAAAGAAAATTGAGGTATTTTGATCAGTAATTTTTGTGTACCTTACTGAATTCAATATGGATGAAATCATAGTTGCTAAAAGACTATGTGAATTTGAGATTTTTCATAGACATTTGTTAGAAAACTTAAATTTTCACTGGATTGATCGATTAACAAGACATTTTTACAGTTAAATGACATTATCTAGGGTATTATTCGAAACCAATGAACACTACAAAGGATTCCTATTTTCGACTGTTAGTCAGTGAAAGTAACCATTAAACAATTCAACACAAACCTACAGGTCTTGCAGTTAACCTAATATTAACCAATTACTGAGTCTGAACAATCTAATTACAGAAATTAAATTAATCGATTATTCCGTTTAATGTTCGAAGTTTAATATTTTGTAAAGTCCATTAATTAGTTGTTGTTTTATATTTTGAGCTAATCCCATCTGACTGAGTTAACAGTGGGTTGATTTCTTCTCTTTATTACTAAAATACCAATATCGCTTTAAACTATCTATTTCTATATTCACTTGTTTCACTTGTATCTTCCCATTGTTATTTAGGACTGCAATCGATTAGTCTCTTGTTGGCATATGTGCATCCTGTGTGGACTGCCTCAATATTGCCTGAAGTCGCAAGCTTTATAAGCAAAAATGGATAGTAGCTAGCAGTGGAATCCAGGACGCGCGTTTCGTCCTATTTTGGACTCGCCAGCTAGATGTACCTGCTATATTTATGATTATTCCTTATGTTTCTGATTGTAAGTAATCTGTTCTTTATACGTTTTGATATTGGAAATACTATATCAGATTTCGTTTTAGATTAGTTGTTTTCTAACCATATCTGTTTTTCTTACAAGATGTATTGTAATTGCTGTTTCTTACTATACTATGTATTGTCTAAGAGACTGTTTTTCTGCTAATCGGTAATAATATCTCATTGAAATATTTTCATGTTGTATTCATACATAAAAGATGAGCTCGTTACACTTACAAATCACTGGTCCTGATAACTGTAGTAACTGCGATAAACTACTGTAAATCAATTCCAGTTGGAAGTATTTCAGAATCGATTATTCAACTTCGAAATAAATTCAATATAATTAATGTAATTCAAATGTAAAAACTTGATTATAATACAATGGTTCAATGACAAGTAATACCCTAGAGACACTATCAGTTATTGATTATTCATATAGGAGATATTTTCAAAATCAGAATTTTTGGATTTATTAAATCTTGAAAAAACTTAATATTAATTTGGTATAAATTAAAATGAACTAACAATTGTCCACCGTGAATTTTTAATGAATCTGTTTTGTTTTGATTGAGTGATCATTTAGTTCACCAGCTTCATTAACTTTCCGGTAAAGATTTTGTAAATTCAAATGACTTGGAACTAAACACAATTTATTGATCTTCATTCTAAAGTTCATTAGATGGTGAGACTATAATTTATGGACAACCTTTGAGTGATTCTAAAGTGGACTTGAGAGTGTTCACTTGATAACTAGGATCAAATGAAGGTTATAAACCAGTTTGAGGAATTACAATTATGATTTACAATTGATGGTTAGGGTTAAGAATTAGATTTTATTGTTTTGATCACGAACTGACATCAGTTATAATGTGAAAACTCGATTTAACCAACTGAATTAGTGAATTTCGCACTGAAATCCGAGACCTGTTATCTCATACCTGATTGGTTCGTCTATAAATTATAGTCTCTCTCATTAGATCATCACATCTTACTTAAGTTTTCAATCATTTAAATGCATGAATTGAACAAATATATTTACACATTTGTTCATTATTGAAATCTATTCAGAATGAAGCAACACTCCTATGATTTATTGCGATTAAGTTCGGTTTCTTTCATGCACTTTTATTAACTTATTTAACAGATATTGTTATTCGGACCGTAACAATTCATCTATTATGATTACTATCATTTCTGTATGATGTCGTATACTTGATCACATGTGACAGCCTCTGAACATATCTCTCTAGGTTAAATGTTGATAGCTTAAATATTGCTCAGTTGGTCACTCTCTTTACCATGTATATATGTGCTCGAATCCTATTAATAGCTTTTGCTTTGTTGTATCTATCTGTGCCTTGATTCGATTGGACTATAAATTTACCTTTGTATTTGCTCGCTCACACATTAGCTTCTCTGTTTCAATTCGCTCAATATGCTTGTAACTTTGTAATCAGTGTTATTCGCTAATAAACTGTAGTTGCCGCTTCTCATTGACTTCTGAATTCAAACACCGTTAGGATTTACATAATAACGATTATCAAGGTAAATGATTATGGAAGCTAAGCCACTACAAGTAAATCTCTGAATTACGGATGTGAAATCCTTGAATAATTTCAAATTTCGGGAATAATAAATATGTCAATCTGTTTAAGTAGATAACAATATATTATGGACATGTTTAATATAGAAGTTACATCATTAACTTGCCCATTATTAGTAAAAAACAAAAAAAATCGAATTTGGCATATATATATATAATAATAAATACAATCATAAATTTGATTCCTATGAGAATATCCGTAGAAGTTTTGGAGTTTTATTCACAACAGTTGTCCAACGATAAATCAGTATTGTAATATATTTATATTATTGTCCTATGTCATTTTTCCTTCGTTTCATTCAGTGACCTTATGATGTAATATAATATGTATTGACTTTTGTCTGCTTATATAATCATCATTAACTGAGTGTGTATTGATACCTAAAGCGAAAGGTTCTGGATTCGAGTCTCATTATAGGCATTAACACAGGGATTCATATATAATCAGCCTTTAAGTCTCAAATAAGAAAAAATGTGAATTGCTTTGTTAATCACAATTCATCCATTTTATCGACTTGACTTGCTAATGTTTTCAAGTTTTTGATTGAGATTATGAATCGATGAATGTTAAACCACTATTGAAAATTTCGCATGCAGGATAGCGGATATGCACCTCTGAGAAGCCCCATACTAGGACAAAACAGCCATCCAGTACTTGCAGGTTTGCAATGGTGGTCTAACGCTCATCGATTCATGATCTCAATTAAATAAAATTTATTCCTCTGTTCATTGTCATTATTTTTATCATTATCTTATGTATAGTATATTTGGTAGCATTTTAAAGAGTATATTTTTATTCAATATTTCGTTTACCAGTCATTTTATGCTACTTAGTCAAATCACGACGGACTTACAAAGAAATGATTTGATTCGAAGATATGATAGTAAAGTAAATGTACAATGATGAACAAAAGTAATGAGATATTGAATATTAAAGTTTTATAGTTGTAAATTAAAAGATTATCAAAATGACAATTCACTTTGTTTATTGAAAAAAAAGCAGTAACCAGAGGAGTTCAAATAGGTCTGTTGTGAGATAGTAACTCATTGAAGACAATGGTGGACGTGTGGCTCAACTTCGTGGATTAGTTGAAGTTAGACATTAACACCATTGGATGCTTGACGGCTCAATGATATAGAGGTTAAGTGTTCGCGCGCGAGACTGTTATGTCCTGAGCTCGAATCTCGGGAAGCGGAATCGTGGATGTGCATTGCTGAGGAGTTCCATACTAGGACGAAACAGGCGTCTAATGCTTCTAGATTTCTCATGGTGGTCTAGCTTTAGTTGACTCATGATCTTTAATATTAAATAATTAAATCTTTTAAAGGTATCATAATAACAAACGTTTAAGTAAACATTCGAGAAATTATGAACTCTAACAGAACTATATTTAACATGTGCAAAATGTTGATTCATCTATTATCTTAATTTGTAGCTGAAAGTGAAGTAACACTATACATTCTTGACTACTAGATTGGGAAGTGTTATACTTTAAGTTAAAGGTGATTGTTATTAATGAACCATCTGAATAAATGTTCGGAACAGTAAAATAAAACATATACAGTAATGATGGCTTATGTAACCGAATAACAATGTCTTCAGTTGTATAAACCTAAGATATTTCTTAACTATCTATGTAAAGTTTTAAACCAAATGTATGTAGGATGATATATATAGGGTAACATAGTAAACTTATGATAAGAAATAAGTGTGGCCTGATGATAGATGTAACAGTAGTTATTTTAATGATAAACATATTGAAGTTAATATCAATTAGGGAATAATTGCATGAAAGTTTATAATAGGTCAAAAATTCTAGTCATTAAAGTCAGATGACACAAAAATATAGTGCAATAGAAAAAGTTTAGAAGGTATGTGAAACAACAGTCATCAAATGAAAGGGAAAATGTTATTAAGATATATTAAAAACTTCTTTTCAATACAAAAACAATGGTTATTGGCTGGAACTAGTATAACTTTTACGGTTTGTAAGAGATAAATTCTAATTTCGTCTCAACAAGTAATGAATAGTTATTGTTTATCAAGTATGACATAATGCAAAAACTTATCAATTGTATATGAAGTGAGATAAACAATCAGAATGTCATCTCTGAGTATTCGATAAATAGGGGTGAACAAAACTTGACTGTAACTATGGTTTGTTTACCGTGTAGAATGTACATAAACCTTTCTTCTTTAAATTCATTGAAGTTCTCTCTAACTAAACTAACTGGACATTTTAAGACATCCTGTTAATTTACTATCCATTTCATCCTTCAGTATTAAATAAATATTTATCATTGAGATCATGAACCGATTGATGTTAGACCAGCATTGAAAACTTGGAAGCACTGGACGGCCGTTTCGTCCTATTGTGGGAATCCTCAGCAGTGCGCATCCACGATCCCGCTCGCGCGATCCGAACCCAGATTCGTGAAGGAATTCTCGGAGTCTTAGTGAGAATCCGTGATCTGTGGAGCCGATTCGTGTCGGGTAAAGGCAGGTATATACCTCAGTACAATGGAAGATGGTCGAGCAATTTCGTGGATTGGTTGAGGTTAGACATTAACACCATTTGATGCCGGCTCAGTGTTCCAGTAGGTTAGGCGTTGACGCGCGAGAATGAAGTTCTTTTTGTTCGAATCCCGCGGGTGGGATCGTGGATGCGCACTGCTGAGGAGTCCCACAATAGGAGGAAAAGGCCGTCCAGTGCTTCCAGGTTTTGAATTGTGGTCTAACATCAATCGGTTCATGATCATTTGTATTAATCTTGATTTCAAGTTGTGGTCACTGGATTTTTGGTTTATTTGTTTATTTTTTTAAAAAAACTAACTGTACTCTGCTTATCATTATTAGTAAATCTCTCATTATATTATCAACTATTATTTGTTATTTATTTGTAATGTTAAACCCATTCTGCTTAAACTACATATCTAATTATCTTAAAATGAAGCATTAATAATTAAAAGTGTTTATTATTTTAGAATAGAAATAGTTGAGAATTTGTATGTGTGAATCACTAAATGATTAATTTTTTTAATGAATAAAAACTCACAGCAGGTAGAGCGAAAAATGAGATACCAGCCAATGCACAAAATGCTGCAATAATTTTCCCCATCCATGTTTTAGGCACTGTATCTCCATAACCGACTGTACAAAGAGTAATCTGATGAGTAAATTGAAAGAAAGAATTAAGACAAAAAAAAATGAATGAAGAATTGAATAAACAGTTGAATCTTTCAAAACGTTTCTTAAGAAGATGGCAGTATAGTTTAGACTCAGTATAGAATTTATTCACTATTCAAGTTGGATATTATTAAGAAGTTTTAGAAGGAAAAAAACTATCAAAATTAACAGAATAGAGGTTGTGGAGATTGTTAAGTTTTGATTGAAATTATGAACCGATTGATGTTAGACCACCGTCGGAAACCTGGAAGCACTGGACAGCTGTTTCGTTTTGTTGTGGGACTCCTCGGCAGTGCTCATCCACGATCCCACCGCAGGATTCGAACCCAGGGATTTCAGTCTCGCGCGCGAACGCCTAACCTACTGGAACACTAAGCCGGCATTCAATGATGTTAGTGTCTAACATCAACCAATCCACGAAATTGCCCGATCATCTTCCATTGTACTGAAGTAAATACCTGCCTTTACCCGACACGAATCGGCTCCACAGGTCACGGATTCTCACTAAGACTCCGAGAATTCCCTCACGAAGCTGGTCATTAGTGAGCACATGTTAATTATCAGCATAGGGGTTGTGGAGATTATTAAGTTTTTGACTGAGATCATGAACCGACGTTGCCAGTTTTCCAACAGTGGTCTAACATCAATCGGTTCATGATCTCAATCTATTAAAATTAAATTGTTGATAAATCCTTCTTTTCAGAATGACGATTTGTCGAGATTGTAGTTATTCTAATAATTGAATTCATGAATCTATCTAGACTAGACCACTATTAATAACCTGGAATTACTAGACGACCGTTTCATCTTAGTATAGGACTCATATAATTGTAGGTGTGCACTGCTGAGGAGTCTCATACTAGGACAAAAAAGCCGTCCAATGTTTCATGTTTTCAATGGTGATCTAGCTTACATCAACTCATGAATTCAACTGTTACAAAAATTATTTAATTTATTTCAGTATCTGTGAGGCAATTATTGGGCATTCTTTTGTAATAAAGTTTTGTTTTCTGAGCTGAATAGTTTTGTGGTGGAGCTTTCATCGCTCTTCTGAACGAAAAAACCTCTATCATCAGTATGAACCTCAAGTAGAAGTTTATCAAATTACTTTGTTAATCTAGCTAATCAACCCGTAAGTTAATTACTATAGATAATCGTTTAGTTCTATAAAGTGTTTATATTTACAACTTAATAATGAATGTTAAATACTAATTGCAAACTGCCCAAATCACTACCCAAAATGTATTTTTGTTTGTTTGTTATTTTTTAGAGCATAAACCACAAGATTAGTTGACATTTAAAGTTTGCCTAAGATAAGTAAACAACTTAAAATAAGATTTATATTATAGAATTATTAATAAGTGTATCAAGAAAATGACAAAACAAATTATATGTTGGTTAGAAGTTAATAAATAGTTAAAAGGATTTAAACAAATATTAATATCAGAAGAGGTTTTGTGGAGATTTTAGTAATATTTCAGTTGAATTCATGAGTCAATCGAAGCATTGGATGGCCGTTTTGTCCTAGTATATTACTACTCAGAAGTTCAAAGCTCTGAGAACAACTCAGAGAACAAAACGCCATCAAAATCATCTACCTGAGCTACAAATCTTCCCCACCATCTCAGAACAAATATTTGATTAATCGAATTTTAAATCAGAATGAACCGGGTTTTTTTTTCTATTAAGAATATCAGATCATAACATCAAACAGTGTTTAAAACTAAAATAATGATGAAATTTCATTCGACCTGGTAACAAATTATAATTTTTCAAAAAAAGCAATCAACTTGAGAGAATTCTATTCCGAATAAGATAAAATAATATAAAGATCAATATAGGCACGGTGATTATTATGGACACCATTATTCTTTAATCTTATCAAAGAAATATACATGAAAGAAAATCAATAAAAGATAAAATCAAAAAATCATTTTACTTGAGCCATACATTGACCTTGTTATTTATTCGCTTATCAATCTAGACTGTTTTTATATGAGCGTATATGTGTGTGCCCTTCTTATTCCATTAATCACATGTCTGTAGCTTTATTTTGTCTGACTATAAATATTGAGTAACACTTGACAAAGAGGGAGTTGGCTTCCCAGCCATCTTCCATACGTGTCATTTTTGCTTTGCTGTGCTTCATTCGCTTCATGTACGAAATATATGTATTCTCAAGTCAATTCTCGTTATTCGACTTATTTAATTCCGTTATTGGATAACGCGATTCAAGTCGACGATGATATACGAGAAAAGGCGATAACAAACATTTATACGATCTTGGAGTCAGATTCACGAGCCACTTCAATATCTATGATATGTTTCCTTTTCTTCTTTCTTGATCGATCCTGACGATAAATATTAATTGATCGCCAGTTAGATGTTAGCAGTCCGAGAATCGACATCTGAATAATGTTCATCCTTTTCAATGCATATTGCCAGCAACCACGATGTCGCTGATTGTACCTTTTCGTAACCTGTACAGTGAAATGTTGCAAAACTTTTCAGAAGCGTGCCTGAATAGGTTGTGCGCCCAATAGACATAATGATGTGTTGAAACAAACAAGAAAACAGATAGTTTGTTGAGATATCGAGATGATAGGAACAGTTCGCCTGGATATTTAAGCAGACCACTGACTTCTAATAACTGGTACTGTAAAAAAGCATCCTGTCGTTGATACACTCAAACGATCAAGTGAATTATTTACCAAGCTAAACATCATCTTCATTCTATTTTATCCACCAGTAAATGTTTTTTTTTGGTTATTGATTTTCAGCATACAGATAAACTATGTTTTAGCTCAACTTCCCTAAACAAACATTTCAATAACCGATTGTGGATTTGTGACATGCTTCGAAATTATTAATTTCTCTACTTTAACTGTAATAAATTATGTAAATGCAACTATTTTTTACTATTTAACACCTACGATACTTTTGAATCTTCGAAAATGTCATAGTAGTCGTCATTGATCAAACTGTCCCATCCTTTTTAGTCGGTGAGGACTGATCCACTCAACGAAGTGAAAATCCTCAAGGAACAGCAAATTTTGGGGCTCCATAATTCAATAGGCCTAGGTAAACTACCTCTAGCTTTTTTAGAGGATAAAAGCAACCATTTGTTTAAGGAGCTGACTAAGTTGCTTGCAAACGTTTGGCAACTATAGAGTATATCAACATCATGGAATGCAATCATATTCGTCCCTATATTTTAAAAGGCTTTACGTCACCTATGCATCAGCCATAGGAGGGTCAATTTTCTCTCGACTGCGTCCAAAATATTAGGCTACGTCATATTTCTCAGATTGTTCAAAACTCTTTAAAGACTGGCTTCAGAGGAGCAGGCTGATTTTCGTTCTGGTCGAGAATTTATTGATCATATCTTCATCCTCCACCAAATGTCAGAACACTGTCATGCTTATCACAGGCCAAAAAGCGTAGTGCTTCTTGACATCCGAGCATCATTCGATTCGTTGGACAGAACTGTTTTCTGAGATTGTCGATTGAGAAAGGGTGTACCTAAGAAGTTTACTAACATCTTGAAAGTTCTATATGCAAATACCTCGGACGGAGTGTTGGCATACAACGACCTCTCTCCATTGCTTCATTCATCCAGTAGTATTAAGAAGGGTTTTCCAATCTCACTATTCCTCTTCATTATTACCATCTGGAAACAGCTCTGATCAGTGTAGGTAATGGCGTTGTGGCTCTGTTGTCTGGAGAAAGACATTCCGACCTTGATTACGCTGATGATATTTTGTTATTTTGTGATGATACCCAATCCATACAATCCACGCGTTTTCAGTTGGCAACCAGTGTCCGTCAGTATGACATATACTTTTCATCTCTTAAGTGTAAAGCAATCTTACAAGACTGGGAGGACCCTATTCATTCTGGGTACTGAACAGATAGAAGTAGTCGAGAAGTTCGTGCATATCGGTAGCTGAGTAAGTGCTGATGGTGGCGTGAGGTATGAGATAAATTCATGTATAGTGAAAGTTAGAGTTGGTTATACCAATTTATGACATTTTTAGAGCCTACGTGATGTTAGTCTGGCTGTAAAAGATTGGATCTACAGCTTGTCTGTGAGAGCAGTTTTGCTCTATGCCTTTGAAACTCGGCCTCTCGGAGTTGAGGATGCTAGATGACACTCTGTGTTTGATTATTGTTGTCTCCGAAGAATTATCAATATCTAGTGGCATCATTATGTTAGTAAGGCAGAGGTTCGAAAACATGTGTTCGGATAAAGTGACGGTAATTTAGAGGGTGCTACCATCTTGAAACATAGACTTCAGTGTATTAGACATATCTTACAAATATCGTGTCGGCGATAACCACATCATGCATTATTTTCCAACTTCGGAACCGATCGGAGAAAGCGGAGAGATGGTCAGTGTATGAGGTGGTGTCGGGGTTTGAATGAAGGCTATACAGGACTGGCTTGCGTTTATCCTTTACGACTCTTTTTTTGGTTCTCTTGATAATACAGCACTGTTGCTTGAGAAGTTATCAGATATAGCTCAGAATAGAAACCAATGGCGATCCCGCTTTAACTTTCTATTTCTTTCTTCATAAAAATGGAAGTAACTTCTTTTCTGGCTGCATTTTCCCTAATAGAACTGATACTTCCACTATTATTATTATTATTTTACGCATAGATACTAATTTCTATTCATTTTTGTTCGTTTTTATTGTACTCACTATCCTTTCGCTATCTCTTCACAACCATAGTTTTATTGTGTGGTGCATTTATATTTTATTTCCACTTGTACAAGTGTTTATGTATTAAATATAAATATATGTACAAATTGTCATTTTACTAAATTGAATGATTTTTATAGTAGAGATATCGTAAATAGAAAGTACTATACTTCATATGTAAAGTTACAAATAATAAAAAAATAGAGAATGAACACTGAGGTTTGTTGAAAGATCCATCATAGTAAATTTAATCAATCAGTTGTATAACTAGTGGAT